TAGCATTTGATCGGAAATATTCGTAACGTTCGAAGAGGTGCATTTGACGTGTTAAATTTAAAGAGAGAAAAAGAAAGGAGGGAGGGGGCAGAGAGAACGAGAGTGGGAGAGAGAGAGAGAGCACGTTTGGAATACGAGTGCAGCGCGGCGCGAAGCTGTCAGGTGCACCTTCATGAAGACGGGCGCCAGGCCTTGACGAGCTTGTCAAGGTACGTATCGGTCCCGCGCGCGCTTTCGTCGGAAAGTGTCGGCAAACAGCGGGAGTACTTTACGTGCTAGTGCATCGTACGGCGCGCTCGCGGGCCACGCTGCTATCCGTGGGCTTCGCTCAAATGTTTACTCTTTCCACCGCAATATCTCCCGATTGGGGAACACGGCGTGGCGCATCAACGGAAGACGAGCAGAGATGTGGGCGGCAGGGAGAGAGAGAGAGAGAGAGGGAGGAGGGGAATCCTCCGTGTGCCGTCGCATGTGACTCGTTACTCCGTCGCAACATCTGCCGCGCGCGGTGACACGTACACACATACACACACAGAGCGAACGCGGAGAGAACGGTTGAAAAAGTTGCGGAAAAAACAAATAGGGAAATGACCTGCGAGCGCCGTGTCGCGCTCGCCGATTTCGTTGATTGTCTGGGCGCGCGTCGGTCCGGCTTTATTTTCAACTTGATCAAACTTGCTGTGCAAACCGCGGGCGCTCGATGCCGCGCGCGATGCGATCGAGAAATTGCACGAAGTGGTTTTTAAGCACATCGCAGATCCGGTGCAGGTAGGTGAGATTTGCAGGTAACACTGACAGTGACATGTTAGGCCTACGCGTTTTTGCTCACTCCCTCTTCCACGTTTTGACGCTATATCTACGGGAGCTGAGAGATCTATACGGTGTTATTTCAGCGTTAAGATCGCAAATGTTACCCTCAGGGTTAATGTATACCGAAAAACCCATTTAATTGGCACAAACAAAAGTTTTGTTTGAATATCGACAAATAAATGTTTTGGTTGTGAGAATCAATATTAGGTACTCCGAACCAAATTTTTTTTTTCATTCTCGTCTCAGAGAACTAATTTTTGGTTAAACAACCAAGACATTTGTTTGCCCATGTTTGAACAAGAATTTTGTTTAAGTTAACTAAATGGGTTTCTCAATATATATGTCAACAACGATTGGTTATATTCGCGAAATTAATTGGATGATTGTTGGTCGACGGTTATTCGTACGCTTCCCGAGAGAGATTTAACGAATTTTCTCTGAGAAACGGTGTTTTTAATCCAAGTTGCTTCGCGGAGTTCCAATATTTATCAAACATTACGGTACACAGTGAGTTTATGCGCCATAAAGTCGAGCGGTGTTTGGAAAATATGCGGGTACTTCGTTCCTTATGAACGAAAATTTCCGACCCCTATTGAAAAAGGACACTTTCATTCGCTAATTTAAGTTTGTTTTTTTAATTTAACATCTTTCGCACACGGAACATTTGTTAAGCGAGGTCAATACACCGTGCAGCAGGCGGTGTAAATCAGCGTTTTTTACGTGGCCAAGTTTAGTGCCCGGTTTGTGACCATTAATTGTTTTTATAGCTTTTGTTAAATGGAGTTTGAAAGATATGTGCTTCCTTCGCGGAAAAACCGACACAACCTCCCTTCCCGGAGGCACGAAACTTTAATTTACGTTTTAAATATTTTACGTAAATTACGTTTCTCCGTGATTTTATGTAACAGTGTGGCACAGCAGAATATTCACAAATAGATAACTTTCGGAAGAAAATCGCGTCTTCTATTTTTCAAATCTCACCGAATCTCGTATATTTTCGTGACGTGACGGCACGTGAAATCCGGAATTGGTTTGGAAGTGGACCGGCGTATATCCTCGAAAGAACTCCCAATTTAATAAATAATTATCATCTTCCTCGTACGTGCGCGCGTGCGTGCGTACGGACTCTCGTACGTTATCGGTACGGTACATTTATCGTGGTAGCTCAGACGGGTAGCAAGAGTCGTTGGTACACGAAAGAGGAAAAACAGTGCCGGCGCAGCGTTGTACCTCTCGCGTTGTTAGCTGATTAAAAAAGGAGAAAGAGAGGGGTGAGGAGAGGGCGGTGGAACAACGCGCGCTGGCCGCGTCGATTGAAAAGTTTGGTGCGCGTTCGGCAGTCGATTCGCGTTCATGAAACTCGCGGAATGAGAGCGAGGCCCCGGCGCTCCTCGGCTTACGTGGAACGCTGCCAGACAAAATTAAAGCATTGAGAGTAGCGGCAGGTAGTCGAGCAAAACACGGGCCCGGTTGGTTTATTTATGTGACAGCGTAGTTATAACACACGCCGGCCGCAGCTTTTCAAAGTAAATGGACGCTCTACCGATACTCCCCGATACCTTCGATTCGGTAATCGAATACGTGTGGTCCGGCGACGGCGGCGAAAAGGAATCCGATTTTCCCGCCGCCCTCCGCCGCGTCGTTACCCTTGTTTTGCCGCGGTAGAAAGTGACGGAGAGTATGCTTTTAATTGTATTCCACGGAAATAGCGAGGGATGATTCTCTGAATTTTTATGTGCCCAATTTACGATCCTCTCTCCCTCTCTCTCTCGCTCTCTCTCTTTCTCTCCCCTTTCATTTTTTTCATACCGACCCGATTGGTCGATATGCTCGTTTTATATCGTCGCTCGCATAACTTTGTACGACACAAGTTGAAATTAATAGTACCAATCTTGGTAGGATCTATACTTTTTTATTTCTTCTTGTTATACGACTCGCTCGGTATCCATTATATGGTAAGTGAGCCAATTGAAAATGGGCCGAACGACATTAATGCGTAGTTGGGTAAATTGCTTTTTGAAATTACAAAGTTATAATTCAAGCTAGCCACATTCTGATCCAGTATTCCCAAGTCCCACATTACAAGCTTAAAAATATCAATTGGAATGAAAATGACAAAGTTGAATGCGACTTGACATAAAAGCGACAAAGTCGTGTCTTACGGACCGAAGTATGGCGAATTAAAGACTCAAAAATAAATGTGGCTAGCTAGATTTAAAGCGAGTATATCCGAGTCGAAATTTCGACTCTATGTTAATATTAATTCTACAATATATTAGATCTACTATAATATACTACTCTACAAGAAACTAAGATAAAAAATAGGTTCAATTTTAATTCTAATAATATAACACCTACTTTGACCCTGATGATATTTTAAATTTCCGTTTATGCTGTTTTAGCGTCAAAATATGTTGTTGAAGGTAGCATTAAAATTTAATCTATATAATTAGAAGTTCAAGAGAGAAGTTAAAAAGTGTCAGTATCGTCAAAGTGAATTTTCATTAATCCATAGGCTGTCTAAGTAGACGCAAGCTATCCTTAAAAGCATCAGAATAGCATCAAAATTTCGACTCGGGAATTTTCGGTCTTCGATCGAAATTTTAGTCCTACTTTAAGTCTAATTTAGTTCTACATTAAGTGCGCCTTTAGTTCTACAAATGAGAACTTATTTCCGCTTCCTCTACTTGAACACTTAACTTGTAGAATTTAAAATTTCAACTCGGGCCTCTTCGCCTCTGCCTTATCGATTTCTTTTCCCATGAATTTTTACACACAAACTCTACCCTCCTTTTAACTATCACGATTAAAAGTGATTTCGTGAGAAATATCGTCTCAGCCAGAAGCAGAAGTGAGACCAGACGAAGAAATTCGGCGGCGGAAAAAATCGCATACGTTCGTCTTACACAATATTCTATTATAAAAGAAAAAATTCATATAATCGCAGACCAATATCAACGTTTTGGCTTCTATCGGACCATTTATAACATAACATTTTATTTCGTCTTATCCAGAATGCATTCAATTATGCTCAATCATGCTTATCAGTCGAACCACTCGTTGGCTCGCTGTCGTGAGGTAATTTTTTCGCGACGTACGTATGGTGCTTAAGTACGGACACGGCGGTGTAACGGTGATAAGCCGGGGCGATAAATAAGTACGACGCTCTAGGCCTGATGGAATGCATCGTGTCGCGACGTGTCTAAGCGAAGAAGAGCCGAAAACTTTTCTTATCCCGCGCCAAGTTCCGTAATCATCGGACTTTCCGCCTCACTTTCCGCGGCACCTGCCGCAGCCGTATTCGCGAGATTGCTTTGTTAGTTATTTGTTGAGGAACTCGGTTCACTGCGACGAATAGACGTTTAATGAGCTCGCTCCGTCGCGTAAAATGTTTGTATAACTTCTCGCCGGTCTCCCTTCATCGGCGCGCATCATTATCCGGTTTCGCGTTAACTGTCGGGGGCAAGCTCGAAAGGACCTCTACAAAGAATTTGTCGGCAATTATCAGTGCATCCCTCGGTCCAGGCATCCTTTGCATTTCCACGGCGCTTTCCAGTCGTTTGTCAGGTTAAGCGACCGGAAGCTGGAGTGTCGTATATTATATTATATCTGCCTCGTGAATCGAACCGCGAATATCGACCGTCTTCTCACGGAATTTCACGGAATTTTGATTCTCGATTCGTAATTGGATCTCTGTAATATCGGACACGAGTTAATTACGCGCGGTAATATAATCCAAGGCAGCGGAGAATAATAGTCTCTAAATCCTTAAAGCAGTCTATAATTAAAATTAAGACGAAATTAAGGTCGAAGGTTCCGAGACGCTCTCTGCGTTTCGTCTGATTCCCCCTTCATCTCTCTCTTGAGAAAATTCTATCGTCCTTTTACATCTTGTATGACGAGAGGAAGACAGAAAAAGATAGAAGAATAAAGAGAGACGGGGCTGCGCAGTCTTAGTAGAAAAATAAGGAACGGCGATGCGCACTGCTAACGACAGTTACGTCATTCTGCAATATCGCAAATGGACGGAAATAATGACATCCTCTCTTTTCGCATTTACCGTTACTTTTTCAAACGTTAACAGAAGATCTTCATTATTAAGAGAGCGAGACGGGGATCGCGTTCCGTTCGTCTGTTTGCTCTGTCGCGACGATTTCGGGCCGGCCGTGTTACGCGCGAGAGATACTCACTTTCGTGCAGAACCGTGGTTATAGTCTTGATCGTCGGATCAACGAAGATACGAACGTCGAATCCGAGATTGCTTAACGATGCGTGGAGATTCTCGGCGTCCCTATCGGAGCCCTTGCGGGTGCTCATGCTCTCGAAGTGAATGTGGTTTAACACGAGCGCCACTCCTCTCCTCTTGTGATTCATGTTGTATTCTTCGGCGTGCGGGTCGAGGCGGATTTCGACAGGTTTCTGGCCTTCGTACAGGTGCCTGCACGGGAACATCGAAACGTTAGGACGACGTAATCAGATCGACGTTACTTGAAAATATCTAAGGAAAGCATTCGTGCGATGTAATATGCATCGGGGGCTTGGTAATCTTTCAAGATGAGCGAACGAGATTGATGTTGATCGAGCGCCTTTATTTCGTGCGAAAAGAAACATGTCTTTACACCGATATCCACGTTCAATTTATTGATCTTCGTTGACCGTTCCGCTGCAAATGGAAACTCTCGGCGTCGTTCGTCAAAAAGAAAATATCTACGTGACGTAGACGGAGGAATCTGTGAGCGAAAGGAGCAACGATTGCTTTACGATTTTTATTCTACTGAAAGACGGAAAAATAACCGACCGTAGGGGCAGCTGTTCTTTCTCGGTGGACTAATTACCGCGGGAGCTCTCTTGTTGTGTGAGTCCGCTCGCGGAAATACGGAAGCTAAGAACTTCCGTTGTTCTTTATAATTGTCCGGTGCCTTTGTACGAAAGAAGTCGACCTCGCGGAAGTACGCGCGCATCAACCGGTGCACACAAACAGGGATGAGTACGCGACATTGCGGACGAAATAAATGTCAGTAGCATTTAGCGCAACGTCCCGGCACTGTTGGCGTAATTAGCCGGTAGATAGCTGCAAAATCCTGACTCGAGGACAGTTCTGAGTAAATGGATGGCGCGAAGGACGCACGGAAAAACAAAGAGAGGACGAAGAAAAAGAAAGACAGACAATTAGGAAAAAAGAGAAGGGTAGAGTGGGGGGGGGGGAGATAGTGAAGGGGAGGAAGAGAGAAAAGCATATCTGAAACGTTTTGCCTTTTTGCAGCTAGTTTAGGGGGAGGAGGGGAGGGGAAAGAATATCGGAACATTTTTCTTTTAAAGGCGAACGGCGGATCCTTCTCTTTTCGCGCAAAGTACGCCGGTCTGTTTCGTACTTTCCGCTCACGTGCGCTTACGCAGACGGATATCCTGTTTAGCCGAAGGACCCCGGAATCGGACCGGGATCATATCGCGGTCAATTTAATTTCAACTCGGATTGCAATCGAGAACTTCCGCCGCCGCCGCGATTCCACGGCGTTTTATCGCGCGGGAACTGGCCCTCCCCGCTTTACCGTCGTTCGCATCGCACGTACGCGCGATCCAACTTTTGCGAGAGTTGCCGCGATTACGACTGTTCCGGATAGGCCGACTACGCCGGTCGAAAGTAAATCTCCGGTATTGTACAAGGGGGAGTGCACGAGGATACGGAAGCGGGGCCGCCTGCACTACCGTTGCACTGAATGGGTTATTAAGTCCGGACGCTAAGCCTCACGTGGCTGAACGCGTGTTCTTTCGAACGCTCTGATATCGTGGATAAACGTCGTCAAGAACTGCGCTTTAAATTGAAACGGTAACTAAATAACATCTATAATTTTGTGGGTGTGTGTGTGTAGATTTAATTCCGGCAGATCGAAAGTGAGGCAGGTCGCGGACGTACGAAGCGCGCAGCACGCGAAGCAAATTAGATCAATTTGCAGAGACATCAAGATCGGATGAAAGCTCTTGTTATTATTTCTTATTTTAATTGTACATCCAATTGCACGTAGACACGAAATGAGAATCGATCGTCTCGGTTCTACCCGTTCTCGGCGCGCGTTCGGACTGCTTTTCTAATTGCCGACTAAGTGAACGATCGTAACCAAAGGACGTGATAGATTTAAATCCGGGGAACTCCCTGAACGACACACCCTCTCTCACCTGAGAGAGAACCGCCTAGGTTATTTCCTTCGCCTCCTTCTGCCGTAACGATAACGAGATTATGTTATTACTGTAGGTTTTATCAAAGAAATGTTCCGTGAAAGACGCGCGTTCAAAAGAACGCTGCGAATCGATCTGTCATCGCGATTTACCGTTATGTAATCTTATTAAATTTTATCTCATTTTGCTGTTCACGACGGTCAATATTTTGTTCGATATTGCGTTACGCCATTTCCAAGGAGCGCCACGATATCGTTAAATGCATAATTAATCTGCATACGAGAAAAAATTAGTTGAGACAACAAAAAATGTCGTTGATACAGTGAAACCTCGATATCACGGAGTGCCGCAAATATCCGCAGTTGATTCAATCATATTCGTCATTGATTTCAATAACAATTGAAAAAACAATACACCGTCTTTGATTTAATAAGATACAATGTTGGATTAAAAACATTTTAAATTGAAATAATGTTTTGAGAAATTAAGAATTCAACATCACAATATAATTACGGGAACTATGATTGAAATGAATAGGAAGTAATATGATTTCGCAGAGAAAACACTACGGATATCGTTTAATTAGATATGGTTGCTGCAATAAAATAATAATGTTATTTTTCGCCTATGGATAGATGAAGATTGTTAAAATCTCTCTATTAACATTAATTTAAAAGAAAAAGTGCCGCGAATGTATGACCTGGAGTGCAACACGAATCTATATTTTCATTTATTATCAATTTTTCCAACTTGCTGGACGCCTCCGAGTCGCCGGTATATATATCCAGACGCGAGTAAAGTTTACTACGAACGAGGCAGTCGCTGAGGTTCTTTCCGCTCGTTACGAACTTTATATATAATTGAAATAAGTAATTATTTAGTTGAAGTAACTAGATATATGATTAATTCAATAAACTTTTTCGAAACTGTTGTACTGTTGACGCAAATACTGAAGCGATTATACCATTAGCATGGCGTATTTGTTTCGATAATATATTCAGAAACGAATGGGAAAAAGATCCCGTGACTGTAGAAAGAATCACAAAGGCCTAGGAGGTAAAGACAAATTTACAGCGACAATTATATTTACGGACGAACAACCACAGCATTAGTATTATCCGCAAAGCGCGGACTCATGTTGTGATTGGCAGCGTACGAATGCTGTAAACACCTTAGACCAATATAAACACCAGCCTGCCCTTCATTACACAGTTGGTAGTGCAATTAAACCAATTTATACGGATTTAAGCAACGATGGTTTATTAGAACGATGCGTTAGAGGCTTCTTTCAAAACAATAATAAAAGGGCTGCATAATATTATATGGTGTGTCGCTTCAAAAGTATTTCATAACGGCGCTAAAATCATAGAAATAACTACATTTGTTGCGGGTTTTATTTTTCAATGAAGGTAGCAAGAGTTACCTACAAATGTCACAATTACCGAGAGTGAATACAGGCCGCATCGCGCAAGATTATTACTAGATCGAGGACGCAGAACGCATCGGAAGAATTTGCTTGGAAAATTATGCGAGGGGAGAAATCTACGTAGAAGTCTGAGAAGTCAGCAGCAGTAGATACTTCGACTGAGAAGAAAGACGAGCTTATACATGAACCAGAAATAGTTCCCATGTTTATAACCAAATCTGCATGTGATATTTTTTCACTAATACTAAAAAGTACACAAAATAAAATAAAAAAAGCCCGATTTCAATATCTTTATTAGTTTCTTCGTAATAAATTCCCAAAAGAGAGGTACTTTTTTGGTCGTCCGGCCTGCTATTTCCCCTTAAAAGTGACGATCGTTACATCACGGGTTCGCTGCTCGGTTTTTATCCATTTGGGAGAAAAGTTGGTCTCGCGGTTGAACCTATCCCGCGACGAGATATCATTTACTTCCCGAGCGTACTGACAATTGCTAGACAGCTCGTGCGCCGTATGCCATTAGTCAGGCCGCACGCCGGACTGACAAAGCAACATATATCCGCGACGTTTTGTCCGCGACAAGTGACACACGTGTAACTATGAATACGCGTCCGTGTGCATACGTGCAGCGCTTCTGCCCCAAATATGCGTCATTGATATCTCGCCACTGCGGCGTGCGTCCTGTCCCCCTACGTGTTGCGTACGTTTCCGCGCTTTGTCGAGGCGCCTTTATCTCATTATCGTCGGAGTGCCGGCTTAGCGAACGTTCGCCTTCATCAATTATTATCTTCCGGTGTCGCGCCTCTTTGTATCTTTAATTCCAAGAAACGCGCTTAATGCACTCAACCCCCGATTTCGAATCGATATCGGTCTTGTTTCCCCGATTCGTGAACGTTAAATGAATATTTTATTACTTTGCTTCTTATTGATCTATTTTTCGCCCGATTGTAATCCGACGGACTGGACGTCGCTGCGTTGTAATTCTACTTGTGCTCGTTAGGATTAATCTTGTTAAAAGTCTCATCATTAAAAATAGAAAACTCGAGCGCGCGGCGAGCGGCTGCGAGGCGATTAAAACTTTAAGACGGGGAAAAAGCTGAAGCACGAAGCTGAAGAGCAAGCACACAGAGGGTCATTGTGAGCTACGCTCGCGGATGGATGCGCTGATGAATATATGGAAATGACGCATACGCGCATGTACACACACACACACACACACGTGGTCACCGTGGACACTCAAAACACGTGGACGACGGCGAGAGGGACCGACCAGACCGGCGGGGGAGAAGGATGACGGGGTCGAAGGGTGAGAGTACAGGTCGGATGTGACAAAACCAACGTGGGGCGTTTACAAACTAGTCATAAACGCGGTGAGCCAGTGGCCATTACGAGACAAATGTTCGTCGTGGGAGAAGTGAGTTACCGGCATTACTACGGACTCCAGCGGCGTTTACTTCGGGCTCTAAAACATTTTGCGCCTAACGGCCGTCCAACTCCGACGGTATTATGAATATAAATCCACTCCACCGGACCCCTTCCTCCTCCCCCTCCTGCACCCTCCGCCGTACAGACCCGTGTTCGCTCCGGTATCCGACAATTACACCGGCCATGCGTTATGCACGGCTGTGAGAATAACCAGATTAGAACAGAGCGGAATCGTTCCCATGTGTGTACGAGATTCTCGATAGGAAAAGAATAAAAAAAGAAAGAGAGAGAGAGAGAGAGAAAGAAAAGACACAGAACATGCAGTCGGTCTAAATAGATAACGATGTTCCGTAATGCGTCTTCGATCACGGCCTTCCTCGCGGACGCGATAAACTCGATTTCACGTGGTAATCGCGATTAGCGACAGTAACGTCTATTGCTGCAGGTGATCAATTCAAGATACCGGGACGCGACACCGAATGAGAGAGACATTGAGCCGACTGCGAGCTCCCTGCAACTGTCTCCCGAGAGAAAAATATTTTCACTCGAAAAACACGACGTAATAGTGCAGGCTTGGAAAAATAAATAGCAGCTGCCGCACATCGCGATACGTTACGCGCGAGGCTAACGCGTGCCCGGCGATATTTAAACGGACGCGAAATCGAAGCGAGACGGCACTTTTTCTCACCAGGGTTTCGCGAAAAATTAAAAAAGAATCACATNGGGGGGGGGGGGGGAGCCAAACGAGAAGAAAAAGCGAGAAAGCGAGAACCCGGGTCGAGATTTTAGTTCTACATTAAGCCTATTTGATTCTATATTAAGTTCTTATCAGGTCTTCTATTGTATTTTTTTGATGCTACAAAGGAAAAGTTATTACCGTTTTCTCCACTAGAAGACTTAATGTGGAACTAAAATTTAGACTCCGGAGGCTTAAATTTCTATTTCTAACATTAAAGGGTTTTTATTTAAGGAAATTTCTATTTCTAACATTTATTAAAGGAAATTTCTATTTCTAACATTTATTGTGCTCCTTTGACGCCGCAAATAGAAACTTATTTCCGTTTACTCCCCTTTAAAGACCTGGTGTAGAAATTTAAGATTTCCATCCGATTATCCGATACGTCGCGGCGCGACATCGGCTCAGGCACGGTCAATTCTTGCCCGCAACGCAACGTTGGGCTGATGTCGGTGACCAGTATCGCACCGACACGTAACATTGGACCGAGAGTCGGGAACCAGTTACCGACACTGGGCCGGCACTGCAATTCTAGAACCGTACATGGATAGACCTAATGTGGGACTGAAATTTCGACTCGGGGCGCGACGAGAAGGCGAAGAAGAGGAAGCGTGCGAGGGCGAAGCTAAGAGGAGTCTAGTGTGTCAGTACGTGGATTACCGGCGGGCGCACACCTCTGTATCGAAGTTTTATATCGGCCACGACGTGACAAAGTGGTGCTTACTTTGCTCGACTGAATGGCCATCCGTCCGGCACGCTCCGTTGCGGCTGGTCCGACAGCGGAACGCTCCGCTGTTTCGGCTCCGGAGTGCACTCGTGGTCCGCCTGCATGTCCCTTCTGGTTGGATATTTCCTAACGATCGTCCGTCCACCGTTTTCCCGATCGCTGACGCTCTCTCCTCTCGCCCGACTGCTCGTTCGCTGAAAAGACACGCACGCTTCGCACTGGGAATTTATCTTATCGACGTGTGCTCGCGTCCGTGAGGAGACACCAGATAAAAGCGTCGACGATAATACCTGTAATCTACAACATCTCCGTGCTTATTGAATACTGTTAGCTGGCTCAATATCGCGCCGCACATCGCGCCGAGAGTTCGGATTCGGGACTGATATTAAGCGCTTTTTGGGACAACGCATCTCGACTGGAATGCTCCGGTCGCGTGTATAGCGAACGGTAATGCGTATTCGAGATGGAAATTGCTGCAGCGGTTGCTACGGTGATGGGCCAACGCCGGCCGGTGAGACGTTTGCGTTTAGCGTGTCCGATGCACGGGAACGCGGAAATGACGGGTTTGCGGATAGACAGGGAAAAGGAGCAGATTTTGCTACTTACAACGGTCGATTCGGGAATGTAGATTTATTACGTGATATCTGTTACGTAAAATCGAGCGCGATATCGCGTCTTAGTAATGTGTTCGTGAGACAAAAGTCTCTTCCTCGTGAATATTACGCGACTTGCATCAACTGCAAGTTATTACGTTTACTTCTCTCCAACAATCGATTAGATAAACGGAATAAGCTCGTGTCGCACGATAAAACATTACTTTCATATCATTTCACTCGATAATTATTGATTTTGATGCCATGAGAGATGTCTTTTTTATCCTAAATATAGATAATAGGCGGTGAAAGCTTGTGTGAGGGTCTCACCATCTGCCTATAAAAAGCGTGCAGCAGTCATTAGTCCATATTTTGAACTTACTCTTATCGATAAAAATGCTTTAAATGTATTTTATTGATAAAAGTGAGTCCAGAATATGGGTCATAAGCTTGGTAAATCAGTAAAGGTCATATCCGTAAGTTCAGTTGGGTAAAAATGTAAAGTTCAGAATCTTATTCTGATTTGAAGTTCACTTAAAAATCTATAAGCTCAGAATTTATATAAAAACAATATCATACAAATCTATTCACAAATTCAATTCTCAGAGAATAATTTATACTTTCACACAAGAATTTTGTATTTATCTTTAATTGTAAATAGTAATAGTCTATCATTTTTTAAATAAATGGTTTGTTAATAAAAGACATTCCTGTAAATCGATAACTAAACATAACTCAGCAAACTAGTATTACAATCGTCTACTTAGCCAAACATCTTAAGATCTTTCTGATCCACAGTCTTTAACTGACGCAGTCAGGTCAGAAGCAAAAGTTAAAAGCTTTAATAATCAAATTTAATAGTCCTATTGTGTTTTTTTATATATATAATCTGAATTAAAATATTTTATAAAGTAAATTTAATTCACACCGTATCAAAGTTTATTTGATAAAAGGTCCAACATAGGAGTAAGTGAATTTCAATTATTAATAATTACTCGCTTCTCCTCTTTCTTCTCTCATTTTCACTCACGCACACATATATCATACAATACAAAACTTAAATCCTGTCCATCCCAAGATAAATTGGTTAAATCTTCTAACTCTAAAACAGCAATTAAATAAAAAAAAAAGTAATATAATCAAATACATATTCACAACACGACGTGACACAATTTTACCTTTATCGCAACGATTTCCCCTATCTCCTTATTTTTCTGTTATTATCGATAATACCAATCGTCACACTACAGCACGATAACCGTGTACATGATAGATTTCCGGATGGAAAAGCTTGACAATGAACTTTTTCGAAGAGAAGAATATCCGCGCGTTGCCAGCTACCTCTTTTCTTTCCCTTTTCTTGCTTGGCCGAGTATGTTCTCGAGTTTTCAATTCTGTCGTCAAATATCAACAAGCAGCCGTTTGCCCCGTTGCCCTCTAGTTCCATGCCGTGAGAATATCGGCGTTTCACGACGTGTTTGTCCGGCGCGCACGATTCCCTCGGCCATGCGAGAGCCGGACCGGCCGCGCATTTCGGGAATTCGGGCGTTCTACTTTACCGCCACTTGCCGATCGACCGTGTCGTGCGGTTCCCGCAGTTAATCCATAACGGTATTTGAATTGGCGATGCATGGCGTTCAGTATGATAATGACGAGTGTGCTTTATGGGTGTTCTTGCTCGGAGAAGGAAATCGGGCCCTTCCCGGCCGGTGTTGTAAAACGAGACTCGGCATACTGAAATGTAGGGATCCGAGCATGACAACACACACTTAGGCGAATCAACCGGCTGTTTGTGCGAAGAAGAGTGGCCGGGGTGGCGAGAGATGTATGTGTGTATGTGTGTATATATATATATAAATGAACATGCTTGTTGAACAATAAGAAGACTATCGGATGTCAGCGATATTTTACGCAACGGCGCGCCGCCTTCGAATAATGCCGCGGGGATTTATGCGCTCGAGTATGTTCCAGCTGCCACTTACGCGCGTTTAAATCGGAAGCGATTATCCTGACAGGCGTAATCGATTCGTAACAGACGACGGGAGAAAACAGGAGAATTCTCGCTTGAGCGAAAATTTAATTGTATAAAAACCTTTAATAAAGATTAATTATGATTATTCAATATCTTTTATTACATCGATTAAAATATAGAAGGTTACACGATCCTCCGAATCAAACCTCCCCCATCTCTGGATCGAGTCTCCCAGAATAGGGGGTACTTGGCACATTTTGTTTGTTTTACTAAAATATAATTTCGTTTGTTTTGCTAAAATGAAAATCTCTAAAAATTATTATTTTTTCTTAACTTGATCAATGTGGTTAAATACATTATTAAAATATCTATGATATAGCATAAGAACGTTTAGACATTTCTTTCATTTTTTGAGATATTCAACGAAATCGAAAGGTGAGGCGAAGTGTTCCTAGATTCCCTTACTCAGTCGGCGGGGATAATTAACAGCTAATAGCTGATATTAAGCCCAACTACAAAGCAAGGAAACCTGATTAATTTCTCGAAAGCCGAAGAATGTGTCTGACTGTTGCAAAACGGTAAAAGTTTCGAAGGCGCATACAAATGAAGGAAGTAAATTATAGTGTTTAACAACAATATAAGAAGAAACATTTTCAAAACTTAGAAGTGTAATGGGAACAGAAGAGAGAACTGAAAGCATGCTGTAATATTAGAAATTAGCGTGAAAGTCGCAATTACATCGGAACAGTTCACACAATTAGGAAGGAGCAATTACTATTTCTTTTCAAGATCATCAACGAGAGAGTCACCCCAGCGTTATTATTCGTGAAAATACCGTCACGTTTAATTTATCGACAGGAACATTCGCGGATGAACGTCACTCGACACGAGATCGCCTTGTCTTCCCTCGCGCGTCGCGAAATGGTCGTTTTTATTAATTCCCGCAAAGTTTGAGGAACGGCGTGCTCGCGCAATTTCCATCCGCGAATAGCCGGCAAATGGGTAATAGGGTACAGCCGCCGCTTTCATCAAAGCTCGGTGCAGGTCCGCGAAGTGAGCCAATGGGCGGAAATGTCCATTTGCTGGTTGCAGTGCTTACCCAGAATGCTGAAAGCGGCCGGCGGCTCCTACGGCTGACACTCTTCGCCCCACACATCGTTCCATCCTGTTACGAGAGAATCGCCAGTCATGACACGCGGGGGAGGAGCTGATGTCCACTCACGTCGGAATTTCTCTTTACCTCGCGACTTATTATTCCTTCCTCGATGCTACCGACGTCGCGCCGTACGTCACGTATGCGTGTAAGGCAACCGCTATCTTATTCACGTGACCGTGTTCGTATTAACCCGCCGTATAAGCGACGAGATCGCAATATGCCGTGAATAACATGAACGCGCCAGCGATAACCGAGACTGATTATTAATACTATTTATGCTATTTATGGAGAAAAATGCTGTCGAATCAACAGAGTAATTCCAATAGCAGCGTAATTGGTATAAATCTTTTTAATGCAATGGCAGCATCTATTGCATTAAATAATTAACATAAAACTGTTACATTATATATTGTTTCAATAATTAAAGTATTAGTTTCAATGATATGGTTATTGAATCCAGAAAATTTACTCCAATTACGCGTGCCGTTGAAAATTCTATATTCAACAGCTTTTTTCTCCGCGTATGTTATTTCGCATTTCGTATTTATTATGTCTCATTGATAATATTATTCTGCATTATTATTGTTTCATTTTATTTCGTTTTATTTCATTTATTTACATTAAAGGGAGAGATAAAGCATTAATAACAGCTGTAAAGCTGATGCTGCGCATTTTGGCTGTCCAGCGGATGTATGGTTAGTCACATAAAGTCACATAACACTTTTCTCGATGAGTTTCGCAACGCATTTAGTATCCAATAGGAAAATATGTCGCCTGAGAATTACTAAAAGATAAATTTTCATATCGGACACGAGCGACTTTCCGAAACTCATCAAAGAAAAAATGTAACCTTTTTGTGAATGATACGCATACTTGTAATCTGCGTGAAGTTTGTCAAACACATAATGTGTATGTTGTTCGAAAAAGAATAATTATTATTATTGCACTGAGAAAAAACAAGCGGTTGGATTGACAAAACCGATAGTCACTCTCGTTCACGAAAATGTTGTGTTCATTGAATAAATTACGCGTTGGCGCAACATTAAAATAATTGGTAATTCATTACAGCAAATACATAATTTGTTCAGTGTACTAAACGTTTGGTCTATTTAAGCAAATTTTCGTTGATATTTTACCACTTTTTTCTCAGTATATTATTATTATTATTATTATTATTATTATTATTATTATTATTATTATCGGGCGTCGAGAGCTCTCTCATTAATGCCGAATTATTGCGAAAAGAACCGGGGGAAGAGAGACGTACGTGAATATACGAGAGGGAAAAGCACATTTTTCGATTCTCCGCAAAAGCAAAAATCGCGCTCCCGAGTCCGAGGATTTATATCGAATTGTTGTGATTCGATTACGCGAAAATACGCAATTAGTCGCTGTTACCTTGTTTCCAGACATACAACATGGACGCCCAAGTTGGCGAATCGTCGGCATGCGCGACGGCACTGCTCTGCGGAGTTAAAGCCAATTACGAGACTGTTGGGCTGGATTCGTCCGGGCGCTTCGAGGAGTGTTACTCCAGTTTCAAGGCGCGCGTCCCTTCGCTTATTAATTGGGCCCAGGATCAAGGTGAGTCTGTGAGCAGGGGATACATGGCACGTAAAGTACACGGGACTGTAAGTAGCTGTTTACGCGACATTTGACAGCGTCGCTGTTATTTCAACGAGTCCAGGATTTCGCGCGTCGCAGATTCCTCACGGTGAATTACGAATCGAAGGTGTAGACGTCTAAGATCGTGCTGCTCGCGAATTCCTCGACGAATTTGAAGCGGACAGCCCGCGTCTATTACACACATCTCGGATTTCTCGCTGAATTCGGAATCGATAACGCGAATTTGAATAGTAGCGTCTCGGCTCCACCGGTGGGAAACACGGATCGGTGAGAGCTGGTCGTTGAATATTGGGCACATGGGTAACAATTTCAATCTTAATGGGAGGATAAAATTCTTCGACAACGTGCAACGTATACACAGTTTCAATACGGTTTGAATACTTTTTTTACCGATGCGGTTCGGAACACAGCCGATGGTCCCGAATGAGAGAGCTTGTTTTCGAAAAATTCCCAGAAATTAAGTTCTCTCATGGGACCATAGGTTGGCTATGTTCCAAATTGCATCGAAAAAAAAGTGTTCAAACTGTATTAGAACCAAGCGTTTTCAAAACTTATTTTCCAAGCTCTCAACATATGGTAAAGTGCTGTACAGTAACGACCCACCGCTTCGAACCGATCTTTTATCTCGCGAATAATATTTTTAACACATTGTTAAATGCGTTATTGCACGAGTTGCAGGTTTTGTAAACCATAGATTTCGTAAACACTCCACTAGTAATATACTTTGGGGCCATTCAACACTTATTTTACGCGAAATTTGAGTATTTTTTATCCCGTCCTCCCTTAACACGAAACTACGTCAAAATTTGCACATTTTCACCAAATGTGTCACGAATGCAAACCAAATGGGTAACCGTATACATCTATGGTTACAAATTACGCTATTTAATTTCACGTTTCATGGTGTGTCTTCTCTGTATATTCTTTCTCCTTACTACGTTTCTTTTCAAAACTTTTACATCACCAACCATAGAAAATCTAATGCAGAAGATAGAAACATCTTTATACCGTGATAAAATTGTTATGCGTGGACATATGAAACCCCTTGTGCAAAAGTAGCTTGCAAGACGAACATTTCCCTGGATTTTTATATTTTCTGCCATTTCAAATTGTTTTCAGTTTCGATGTCAATATTGGTATCGATATTTTTGTTCTGCCACTGGTATCACTAATGATATCGATACTCTTGATCGGCTACCCGTTTCAATATTAGTATCGACACATGGTATCACAACATCCTTACGCGTTGCGTTCGGGCGCATTAGTCAGAAACGAACAACCTTCACATCTGAACGCGCGAAAGCGGTCCATATCGGGCTGATTCCTCGCGGACAAAAGGAGGGACGATGGGTCTTCCGGTCCGGTATGCGCAGCTGGTGTACAGATTAATCTTCCTAATCGGGTCGTTACTTTCTACCGAATTTCACGGCGCGACATTTACGGTCCCGCGATCCCGTCATTATGAGCAAACGTAATTAATCCGCGCATACATCCAATTTGGCCGAGGACGGGGCGTTAAAACGATTAAACCGCCCAAACACGAGGCTGCACGATTAAATGCCCAGGTATAAATTGAATTCGCGCGTGCGCGCTCGGCCCGCCGGACGGTGCGGGTGCCTTGTATTCTTGGCGCGGCGTTTGACCGTAAGCCGATATCTAATTTACGGCTCGCGCTAATTGCACGGTGCTAGAGCGAATCGCCTAATGGAAGATTTCATGTGCTGTTTATTAACTCGCCTCACGGAGAGTGCGCATTCACGGTAGGTGCGGATATATCCCGAGTGTCGTACTTTCGCAGTTCAGCAGCGCGTTTCGGGGGATGATAAAGCCCGCGCGTATTCATTTAACGCGCACACGTGTCGCGCGCTAATTAATATAGTTCCCACGATGGATAGGGAGATCAGAATGAGACATGCACGGTGCCCTTCAATTCCTCCCCCCTCCCCACGTTTCATCCCCGTTAACCCACGTAAACCGGGTACGCTGGGAATCGAGTCGCAGAATTCGACCGACCACCCGACGTGGCAATTTGCGCGCGTGTATTTGCCGATGGAAGGCAGGAACAATTTGAGAACAGCATCGGGACACTCGCGACGCGCATCGCGGCGTAAAGAGACCGGCCGTGGGCGAGCGTCGCTCGTCAAAGGCGGCGTTGAAAAGAGCCCCGTCGGCGGAAGTAGAAAATGCTATTAGAGGAAGGCACCGCGTTCACGGTGACGATGCCTTTGCCGCCGCCGTCGCTCTGTCGTCAAACATTGTTATCCGTGCACCGCAACATGGATAAATTGCGCGAATGGTACAGCCATAATGGCGTTTTATTACGCTATCGCTAAAACGACGCCATAAAGCTGAATCAGAACCGTCGTTGTGTATACGCGCGCGCGCGCGCGCACAGCTCAGGGAGGTCTCTATCGGGTGTCTGCTGCAGAAGTAATTATCGGCGATACCGTTTATAATTGCTTTTACCGCGAAATTGTAAGTTTACGAGTGGGTGTGCTGGCGAATTAACGTCGGTGCTCCCGGGGGCGCTCCCTGAGTCATTAGTAATTGCTTACGGTTTGTTTGCAATGCCGGGTCAGCGCAAAAAGCGGCGCGAACGAGCGCGGCGCGCCGGTGTAATCTGGTTGTAACGTAATTTCTTGCCTCCGCGCGAGGTGGAGCGCAGATGTTCGTGAATTTCGCGCGTTGAATAAATAATAAACACTATAGAAATACCGCACGCTACGTACGCGCGGCATTATATATTCCAACGGCGCGTACCTCGTTAGTTATGTAACAAGTAATCGTCATCCTGGCGGCTTCACCCTCTCTCTCTCTTGTAAGTAGACACCGCCGAGCTCTGAATATACATTCTAAGTAGATATTCTAAGTAGTCGCTTCTCGTATCGCGTCTCCGTCGACTCGACCTTACCGGTGATAACTGCGACGCATAAATCGTGTCATCGGGAGCACGGCCACGACATCTTTTTGCTAACTTGCAGGCGAAATTAGCCCCTTCCCCTCCTCCTCCGCATCGTGCTGGGCGATTGCGGAGCCGAGCAGTTAACCGGGGCTTCTTCCTTGGCGCGAGACATTACGCAACAACGTCGCGAAGCACGACGACAGGCGCACATCGGCCGGCTGCACCCACAGTGACAAACAGAGGCATTGTGTTTTTGAGCAGTTGACACGTTGCCAAGACCGCCGGCGTGGTGGGCTCCCGGTGTACGAACACGTTGCTGACACGTGCGACACTCGGACGCGCAGCGAGGCGCGGCGTGTCGATGTTGTGTGTATGCACACCGCGCGTATACGACGCGAGCATGAAAGGACGAGCTTGCTTTGGCCCGATCATTAAGATGAATGGGCCAGCTGATTAATCGCACGCCGTTTGCCGTTGACACCGTCGGCTTTCCGCGCGGTCGCGTCGTCCCGCAGTCGCAGCTTTTCGGCTCTCGCTCTCTCTCTCGCTTGGTCTCTCTGGCCGGTGGTTTGTCAAATTCTTTAGCGCGCTGCCGCGAGGTGACGCACGAAGGCGTTACTGGAAAAATCGACGTCAAATGAACGGGGTGGCAGGAGGAAATTAAAAATGGATGAGGGTGGAAAAATGATGGCGGTATAATAGAGATAATAGCGGAGCGAGCGATGCCGATCTCTCTTGGGTTATCTATCATTTCGGGAGTTGCTGGTTGTGTTTGTGAAATAATCGATGGGGTGACCGCGAAATCGTAGAGTGAACGTTAAAGGAACGAAAAGGTGTCAGGATGATCGATCTGATAGGTGAGAGTGTGTGAAAAAGCGTTGAATGGAAACGTATCTTTGCAATAAGCTCTCTTTCTTCTCTTCTCCTTCTTTTTTTTTAGAGATGTGCGAACTATTCGAATTCCAATCCAATCGAATCCGATCTGAGTCGATTCGACTCCGAATCCCTAAACTGGAAATTCAATGGAACTTGTGTGAATCCATACAAAATATTAAATATGCACGGAGAAATTTACGCAAAATTCATATAGGAGTCAATATGATATTCGTTACCTAGGACATAGATTTTTAGCGTAAATACCCAGGGACAACCATGGGATCCTATATAGATTTCCTATTTAGATTCTCACCTGGTTTTGTTGCAACGATTTCATTCGATTCGGATTCGAAAGTAATAAGTGAGTTTCGATTCGACATAAAAAATCCTTGATTCACGCACATTTATATATTTTCTCATCACTTTCCTCTTTCACATATATCTTATTTCACGTATTCATTTCGCAATGTGTGTGTCGATTAGACGTACACGCTCCAATTTACAGTCGTACGAATATTTCTTCCTAATTACTGATACGATAGAGCGCTCGGCGAAGTGTCGATCATTCCGAACTGAATATCATTCGTTCGCAATTGACGTATCTCGCGATATCCCGCGCTGAATCGGTATCCCGTTAAATCCGGGCGTCTCCGCCAGATTGGAGATTCGGAATGTCAATTGCGCGATTTCGCTAAGGAGTTCGCACGTTAAGCCAACTTTGCTCGCGCACGAAAGGGGTAAGTTACGCGGCTACGCGGAGCACCTTGGAGCGCGCGCGACTTAGGTACGGTCCATTTCGCATCTCGAGGGGCGAATCGAGATTCCGCCAGTCCTCACCCCGTCCTACCGGAACTCCTTGAATTATTATCTTAAATCGCGGGTCGTGCGCTACGTACGAAATCGGACGTCTCGCTCGTGGGAAAGGCGGGAACGAATTGGGAACGACCGCGAGAAGATCTGCGGGATGATCCCGCAGGAATATCCACGTTCGCGAACCTTTGACCCGGGAACTTGATCTCGATGCAGGACGCTTCGATCCCTTTCGGATTTATGAGCGAGCGATCGATCGGATCGGCCAGATTTTTTCGCGACTTTTTGTCCCTTTCTCAGCGTTGAAAACGTCGCCACGTTGCCTATTCGAGCCTCATTATTCCTCGGCTAATTCAAGCTCGACCCTCGCTCGGCGAACATTTGACCAGAGGACCATCTGTTTGCATAACTTTTTAATTTGAAACTTCGTATACCTCTTGGCAGGTAAGCCTCAAATTAAATTCCTGTTAAAGCAAAGTCACTTGAAGTTAACGGGGGAGAGAACAAAGTTCGGTAGTATCTTTACACTATTACCAGAAGCTTATCTTGCCGAAATACTCTAACTTTCAATACAAGATGTGATTATAATTAAACAACTTCTCGGCAACTTAAATATTTTCGTAATTACACTTTCTATCCGAGTTTCGTTATGGCGAGAAACCGGCTCACGGCTCTTTCGAAAAATCCAATGACCGGAGGGAAATTGAGCGGGTCGGTCGCGCGAGCAACATGGGGGCATGCGTTCTGTATCATTATTTTTATATTGTTTCACAGACGCACGCTTTATTGATTAATAGACGCTGAACTCCCGTTATTATATCGACGTGTCGTTTGACATCTTACGAATCGCTTCGCACGCGACATTAATAATAATTCCCCTCGGAAATAGTGAAGTAACGTCGCGAATTAATAAACGCGACCGCGCATTGATAATTCTCAGTCGAGATATCTAGATCAAAGGTGGCCCTCGCGGTGGTTCTCTAATGAAGGACTACGCATCGACACACTCGGGTCGATTAGCATCGAATCGCCCATGCTAGAGCCACTTCCGTAATTACTGATCCCCGCTGAAGCGTACACGTTGCACAAGCCCTGCGTGCCAACTTAATTCCTTAGCCCGTTCGCGCTAAGTGAAATCCCCCGAGTCGGCTGCCAAGATTATTGCGAACGCTCGTGCAATCAAAATGCGATCTCACGAGTCGGACGCTGCACCTGCTCTCCGATTCTTCGACTATGCTTGCTGCCCAAACATTGCATGAGCGAATCTCTATTCACTGCGCGTAAATTGCCTCGCCAATTCAAATATGTGTTTGAAGTAATTAAATCGAAGGGTCTTTTGCAGAATGTGTGGAGAATTATCGAAGATAATTACTCTATTACCCCGAGAATAGATTACTTTATCGGATAAGACGCAATTTACATTTAATTATCTTTGAGAAGAGCTCCCGAATCGAAATTTTCGCCCTGTATCAAACTTTCAATTCTATTACACAGTAGATGGGAAAATAAATCACATATTTCAATTCTAATAATATGACATAATCCGTACTTTAGCCCTGACGATATCTTCTCTAAATAGAATAATTATCTATCTTATCTAAATTTTCTTTCTCGCTGTTTTAGCGTCAAAATAGGTCGTTGAAAGTCACATTAAAATTCGGTCTGTATACTACAAAAACGTCTGGTTGTGAGACGAGTCGCATTTTGGTTGAAGTAATCAGAATTCCTAGTTACAAGAACCACATGGGTCATAAGAATCAGAAATTCTGTTTCTTTTAACCAAAACGCATGGTTATTCACTTTCTGGTTAATGCAACTAGATTATTTCCATACAGAATTAAATCTCTCCTTACAGTCGAATAATAGTCGACTGTGATTGAAAAATTATTTCTACTGTTTACGTTTTTTTCTATGCTATGACCCTAAGAGAGTATTTGTGTATATGACGCGTTAAAATATTGTGCACTCTTCGGGAAGCAGTACTCGCGCGGAATTTCGAAAGACTCCATACGGAATTTTTCTCCGAGACCGAGTAACTTACCGTAATCCGCGACGATCGGGCGGCGCGTTAAGTACAATACAATCGTCCCGGAATCCCTCTTGAATAATACATCGGCTGACTTCGTCGGTAATAAACCCCATACGCGCTCGGCTCTAGGCTAGAGAAAGAGGAAAAGAGAAAGAGAGGGGAGAGAGAGAAAGCTCATTTCGGCTCACTTCGACATTCCAAAATCCACTTTGCCCTCAATGAAGTATAAATCGTGCTGATTCGCTCGGGGGTCGCTACCCGGGGAATTTGTCTTCCGGGTCTACATCAGTGGCAGTGCACGCTTGCCCGCTTAAACGCGATAAAGTCGGACGCGGATACGAACGACCGCGAGGATCCGAAGGGGTGATTTACGAAAGCACGTACACGCCAGGAACTTTGCCAGTGGAGAACAAAGAGAATGAGAAAGAGGGAGCGAGAGAGAGAGAGAGAGAGAGAAGGAGGAGGAGGGACAGAAGGAGTAGGTACGAGAAAGAGAGAGAAAGAGAGCCGGAGGGGATGAAGAGCGAAAGGGGAAGAGGGGGATTCTCCTCTCTCGCGAGGAGACAATAATTCTATTTTTCCACTCGCAGGCAAATCGACGGGACTAGTTACAACCACCAGAGTTACACACGCGACACCGGCGGCTCTTTATGCGCATGCAGCTAGCCGTTACTGGGAGGACGACGGCAAGGTACCACCTGCTGCACGTACCTCTTGCAAAGACATCGCGCGTCAGCTGCTCGAGGACGAGCCCGGCCGTAACATCAATGTACGTAATAATATCCCCGCGCGTTCGCACGCCGCGGAAATATATGGTGCTTCTTGTACTTTACGCATGGTCGATAACTATATTTCAAGTACAGTTTCAAGACGCCTCGATATTTGGAGAGGCGAGAAGAGAGTGAGAGCGAGCGAAACAGAGAGAGAGAGAGAGAGAAGGGGAGAATTCGGGACGATGTTTCATTTTGATTTACCATCCGCGCCGTCGTAAATCATCGCGCCGGGACACGAGTTGCGGGTTTTTTATAATCGTTCTATTACGTCCTAATACTACTTTTCCCGCGTTAATAATTAATAACCGCGATACTTTGAACGACGCCGCGCTCGGTTGGCGTCACTCTCGCCGCGCGGAAACCTTTTACTCGTATAAGCTGCGCGCGTGATAAAACTTCGCTTGATGAATCGTCCGAGCGGCGTCGAGTGACAGTTATTTACGAACGGACGCAGATTCTCGTTCGGAAGCAGATGCAGGGAAATCTCGCTCGTTCGTTCTCCCGCGTCTCCTTCTCTAATAAAGTTCGAAAATAAAACGTTTAGACATCTCGCCGGGCAGCACGTTCGCAGCGCGGAAAGTTGAGAGGTGCGACGATCGCGGCGGATGGTAAAGCCTGTCCGATACGAAGCCCTGCGCGCCGGGTGACGTATAGGTTTTTGCAGTTATGACTCTCCCCTGCATACGAGTGGACGTAAAACCTGTATCGGGGCTCGTTCGTCTCCTTTATCGCGTTTTATTGCGCCCTTCTATCTTATATCGATAGACATAAAACATACACGTCGCAGCCTATTCGCGCCTTTTATCGCGCGACGCTTGTCCTGCAGCGCCCGTTTCGTCCCGATCGAACCATCAAAACGAAGGGAGGATGAACTATCGCAGCTTGGCGTGTGAGCGGCGAAACCGAGCTGTTATTCATCGCGAGAGAAGCGTCCGAATCGATCTATCCGCCACAGGACTTCTCTGGGGATTCTTATTGCGCGCGAAGGAGAGACGAAACAGCGCAAGATGTGGAGAGACCGAGGACGCGAGTTAATTAGCGACCGTTACATCACCGGGACGACTTGTTTCCCGGGGAGAAAAAAGAAAGAGGAATTTTCTCGCCCCGGCCCGAAGCAAGAACTATCCGCGGGCGATTTTATTGGCGCGTGGCGCTCCCTCGGAAAGTTCGAACGAAACTTTCTTTCTCATTAAAGTCGATCCCGCGCGCCTCGTCAGAACGTCATGGATAGGCGGAATCAGAGGTCGATGAGTGCGGCCTCTCTGATAAATTCAAATTTTCCGATCCAACGGTCGGGGCCAAATCTGTTCGCAGTGTGCATGAGAATTCGTCAAGTACGGCGGTACCTTGGCTTAATTGCGTATCGATCTTTCTCTCTCTCTCTCTCTCTCTCTCTCTCTCCTTTTCTCAAATTACGAATGGTATTGATCACGCGGAGAATCAGACGAAACAAAAATGCGGATCGTTAACGTGTTTTACGTTTCCGCAAAAACGTGGGAATATGTCCGATAATCGATACGTTAGGAAATAATCGTTCTAGTGCGTCACAGAGGGACGTGATGTAATACTGTAAATTACATTTTGTCGGATTTTATCAGACGAGAAGGGAAACGCGAACTTTTTTGAGAAATAAACATCGCGCCGCGAGAGATATCGTGGAGTAGCGGAATTTTTGCTCTCACTCTCGCGATAGAATTCAAGGGGGCTTCCTGTCGCCGTAATTAAAAGTCGAGACAAGTTGCCGAAGATGAGAAGTTGCGTTTCTCGCCAATCTGCCGGCGAGAAGCACCGTTACATAGATAACGATACTCGACGTTCGCACTTGAAATGCAGAGACTTGCGGTCGGTACAGGTGGTGCTCGGCGGCGGCAGGCGTCACTTCGTGCCGAAGGTGACTCTGGACCCTGAAGAGCCGGACAAGGAGGGCAGACGACTAGACGGCCGAAATCTGATCGAGGAGTGGTCCAGGAACTATCGTCTGCGGAGCATACCCGCGAGATACGTTGCGAACAAGGAGCAATTCGAGAACGTGGATCCGCGGAAGGTGAACCGCCTCTTAGGTAAGTAATCTCGAATATTATAACATCTCTCGCTGTATCTTGTAAATTAATGCATAATAGCGGTGCACCGTCGAGATCGTGCGGGGTTATCGACGTGTTTCCGTGATCCCTCTTGACTCCTCGTCTTGTAAACATACTGAAATCCCTATTCAGGACAGTCTAACAAAGTTACATATGCGTGATTAGCCAATCACGCTGATATCGTGTACCGTTGACGTATTCCGTGTACACAGACTTACGACTCACCGGTTAATTACGCGATATTACCGTGTGTACTTTAATCCATACACAGAATGGATGGCGCTCTCCTCCCTTTGTTACTCTAATCCGTCATACATAGATGACCAATCTGATCATATTCCACGAGACTCGATTTTGTTAAATTTTCATCACGAGAACATATTCCCATATTGCGGGAATAGAGTGATTTGAATGGACTGCGTGGAGACTCGAAATTATATCTGCGCGGATTTACGTTCTAGAATGGTACTTTGTACCGTTCTATTCTATCTGAAAATTTCGACGCAAATTGAATTGCAAAAACGTCGAATTTGTCATATGTTTACGAGTCGAGCGCTCGTGACGTTCGTCGCTTTTCCAAATTTCGTCGCTTTCATTGCCCTTTTGCCGCGCAATTTAAAAAAATTGCGTCGAAACCTGATAGAGAAAAGGCCGTGATATCGCTCGATGATTATTTTAATATTAAAACAACCAGCCATGATTATTTAAATGCGATTTCTGAATAACGGCTTAATTCACGTATAAAAGACGCACGCCCGTCCATTTAAATTTGCAGTCAGATGCGCGCGGGGGGATGCATTACAATGGTTTACAAGAATTTAATTCAACGCCCGTTCGCGTTCTAGATTTATGCGTAATGCGATTGGTCGTTCTGTCGTATTAATTGCGCGCCGCTGTTAGTCCCGTAATCAGCGTATTAATTATTAGACATTCAGCGTTCGGAATATGAGATTACATCGTGTCTATCGATCGCCACTGTTGATTCCTCTAACTATCTATCTCTCTCTCTCTCTCTCCCTAGCTAGCTAGTTAGCTAGCTAATAAGATAGAGTATTAATTGCTGATGGGTGGAGTGAAACTCTGAGTTATCAGTTTGTTGCTCGCGATTAGCGTCAGTGAGCGATAATGGTTTGTGGGTAACGCAATTGTACGGTCGTAAAGAGAAGCTTTGAGCCCAAAATTGATTTGAATATAAGAAGAAGACGTGAGAGGAACAAAAGAGAGACAGGAATAGCATAGTAGTAGTATAGAGTGCAGTGTAGACAGAAATGCTGCAGTGAATCACAGATTGGAATCTTATCGAATAACTACCGCGATATGAAAACCTTCATAAAGAGATTATCTTATCTATTATCAGCCTTTTTAGAGGACTACATTAGCAAAATGTCATGTTGTTGTTTAACTTTATATAATTCGAAATATGTACAACGAATATGTACGAACGAGTTGTTAATAACGATCAAAACACACAAATATTCGCATGATAAGTTCAAGTTTAAGAAGAATGAGGAAGCGCGTATAATTAAATGCTAAAGTGTATCTTAAAAACGTCTCGAAGTGCTCCGAAGTAAAAATGCATTATAATAAATGCAAACTATTGTATATTGATATATTAGCGCCACTACGTAACGGGCTATTAAACAAATGATTCCATAAGTAATCGTTAGAATGAATCACCTAATAAAGGAGATGTTAACGGGAGGAAGGTCATAAAGAACTATAATACCATCATTTCCTCAACTATTTCTACTATACTATTATTATACTATTACTGCTAATACATTTGACTAATTAACGTTGAAACGACAGTTACGAAAAGTAACGAGATGATGCGAGCTCATGTCGGGAACGGATGTTTCGGTCCGTCGATTCGCAAACAGCCAATCTGTCCTTTCCCATTTTCTTTCTTTGTCAAGGTGATCCGCGGCGGATTTAACGAGTTTCGCGATTACACACGCGCTTCCTCCGTTCTTCGTTTCTCATATCTTATTTTTCGATTTCACGGTGTCTTGATCTCCTCCCGCTCGCGCGTCCTCCTCACCCCGCCCGCCTCACTCGTCCATACGGTTACACGGGCTTGTTTTCTGTGTAACGCGATCCAATTATTTGCCGGAACTTACTTTCGTCGCCGCAGGTCTCTTCGCCTATTCTCACATGGACTTCGACGTTGACCGGAACACAAACGACACCGGCGATCCCTCTCTAGCCGAGATGACGATTAAGGCGCTTCGGATACTGGCGAGGAATCCCGAGGGATACTTCCTCTTCGTGGAAGGTAAGTCAGAAGTTACGACGCCTGGGAAAGAGCCACTTACAACTTTGTGGCAGAGCGAGAGTAGCTCGGTTGCAAGAGATACATTTCCGGCGGGGGGCGTCAACACTCACCCGCTGCCGCTGGTTTAAAACATTTAGGGTGTTCCGGGAAACGTGAATCGGCGTCTCCGCGTGCACTGCTACCGCGAATGCTGGCGCTACCCGGAGAGATGACGGGGTTTACAAATATATAAATCCGCGGCACACCGGGGCAAGCTTTCGGCGAGAATAATATCGCGCGCTGAAGTTTCAGCGAGAAATCTCTTAAATCTATCTTGCTTCCACGACGATCGTATACGAAACTCGAATGCAATCGCGATTACTCGCCCTTAAGTCGGCGCGCTTTTATCGTCGCGCACTTACTTAGATATTATTTCGCGTTTTAATCTCGTTGATAGCGCACGTCGGAAACGAAGTAACGCGCGATGCGCCAACTTCGCTCGCACACAGGCGCAACGCACGTTCGCGAGGATGCACTAAGCTTAAGTAACAGTACGCAAAATTGTCAATGGTCACTTTTCACATTATCATCCCCCCCGCGAAAGGGATGGATTACTTTCGCCGAGGAACTACCGTCGTCTCGGCAAACTGCTGGAGATTGAATGCTTCTGAGCCTTTATAGCAGTTAGCCGCTTCCACGCTATGCGGTTGCGGTTTCCGACGTGTGTTCGTGCATTTCGGAAAGTTGCCCGCCACATCTAGATTCCGCGCGCATACACGGTGTCTCTGACGAACCGTGTTTCTTACAAATCGATGATCATCAAAGGACGTGCTGTCGCACGTTAACGGCGCCCCCGGTACTTTGTTAAGTGCGCCGGAAAATTTGCCTCCTCGACTCTTTACTTGGTCGCGAAGCGAACGATATTTGTCAATCTTTCTGAAATTCGCAAATTTCACTTCTTTCTTCGTTGCAAAAGGGCACAATAATTTCCATAATTTTGATAGAAACGTTACGCGACTGACGTGACCATATACCCGAGTCGAAAATTTTGTTCTACTTTTATTCTGGAAATATCGTCGAATTTGAAGGATCAATAGAAAATTTCGCGAAATATAATCGCTATACGTGGCAAAAAATCTTGTGTTAAAAACGATCCATTGAAATTTTTGTGTTACTTTAATATGAGGGATATGTTAAAAAATACACAATTATATGTTTAATTAAGCATATTCTCCTTGTTAACGTATTGCTTTTTAACATATTCACCTTGTTAAAGTAACCTTATTACCGTAAGTAAATTTCAGTGAACCGTTTTTAACAAAATTTTTAACCAAATTTTTTTATTGTCTACAGACTATTGTTTTTTATTGTGCACATGCTTTCGGTGTTACGAATGGTTACTTGCCACTATTTTTAGGTTCATTTAAGGAAGACTTATCTAGGAATTATTTAATGTTTGATTATCTCAATGGCCTACTTACATTTAATCTTTCTCAATTCTCAATTTTTCAATAAGTAATGGATTAATTATATAACTTATTCAATTACAAATAGAGTATTGCGATGAACAAATATTGAATAATCTAATGGAAATGAATGAGTAAATAGAGAAATAGAACAACTAAATTTTTTTCCTTTCGTAGTACCTTCATTATTTCTTATCGAAGTTAGAAATTTCGATTAGATAAATTAGATAGGAATAGGATTTTTATTCATTAGATTAGATTAGATTCAAATCAGGTAGAAAAGAAGGAGTTGTATGCCTCGTTAGCGACTTTCTGCGTTCTATAATCCGTCCTGGAGTCAGCTCCTGGTCGTCATCGTGACTAGATCTTCATATACCAGTGACGTAAACTAATAATCGCGCGTTAGTCGACGAAGATCATAGAATATTGATGAGTAACATTTTCGATATGTACCGTGTGTGACTGCCCTAATTCATTTATAATTAACAATTGGATAATCCGATAAATTGAAAGTCTGCAATATTTTCGGAAACGTTAATATCATGATTTCTCAGTCACTGTATGTGCTCGTTATTGATTAGCGAGCGACAATAGTTAGCAATTGGGTGGGAGCTTTATCCTTTTCGAAGCTGTCAATTGTTTTGATACTCTCGCACGTCGCGTACTTTTCCGTGACCGAGTCATAATGTTTCAAGTCGACGAGCGGCACACGTATCGCGGAGTATATGAATCGATATTTTGTTTATAATTTTTGCTTAACATACAATTGAAATATTTCGTCAGTTATTGAGATATTAAATTATATGTTTGCTAACACATATTTCTCCGAGCGAATCGTATCTATCGCGAGTGTGTTAGTGCTAGTGTCAGTGTCAGTATCATGACGGATCAGCTAGGATGTTGGATCGAGAAACCAGGACGGAGGACGCAGGACGCCGTGACGCGGGCAACAATACATCATATGTTTCCAGGTATGTCGAATTATTTATTGCACAGAATGTTTCGATTTTAACGGACGTTTCACGAATTCACGGAGCATTAGAAGATACCCGAGCCGAATTTAGGCCTGTATTTATAGTTGTCACTTGAAACTTATCTTTTGTGAGATACTCCAATTTTATTTTCGAGTTAGTTTTCCAGTTGAATCATATGATACATGTGATATTATATCTATAATTCGACTAAAAAAATAGAATATTTAATTCTATATTCAATATGAATATCTCACCTGAGACAAGTTTCAAGTAATAATTATTAATACGGATTTTAGAATTTATTAAGGCCGACATTTATAGTCTGTCATTATTTGGTAAAAAGTAATCATAACTTTATGAATTGATGATTGGTATTTGTTAATCTATAATACACTTACTTCAATTAACAAAAAATATTATCGATTCAAACGGCCAAGTAACGGTTTACAAATATGAATTTGTAATTTCTTATTCCTTTGCATGTCGTAAATAATTTACAACTACAAGTACTGATTTAAGTTTCGCAAAAGTTTGTTTCTCTATTAATGCTATCCTTCAGGTTCGACGGTATTTGCAGGGTTAATGCAGAACCAATATTTCGACTTGGGTATACAGTTCAAAAAAATCGGGAAACGTGTAAGCACGGGAACTAATCAGTTTCCAATCTGTGCGAATAAAAATAAACAGTTTATTCAGGATGAATAATAATGATGGATGAGCGCACGGCGCTCGGATATCAAAATTTATAATGACTTTAGCCGGCAGATTGTTCTATCGATCATCGCGTGGTGAGCGGTATACGCATAGATGCGTCGAAGAGATGTGGAGACAGAAAGAGGGAGAGAGAGAGAGAGAGAGAGGAAAAAAAATAAATGACATGTCAGAGAAAAAAGCATTTGCAATTCAATGGGGCTATCCGATGTGTAAAAGCGGACGTGCTTTTATACCACGTATTCGCGTCCGAATTTCGGTTTAGTCAGCAATGCAATAAAGCATGATTATGAACTGCGAGCGTGCATTATGATAAATCATTTTCTACACATTCCGGTTATTCGATTTTGCAAATGGAGGACGCGCACACGCGATCGGTGAGTTGTTTCGGTGATTTTGAAAAACCATCCACGTCAAAGGTGACAAATAACGGGCGATTTATAGCGGAGGTAAATCATTAACGGATTTACGACAGGCGCCGGTCGTAGTGCGGAATACTTTTTGTGCTGAGTGCCCCGGAAATACGACCATTTGTCCCACCTATGGATTTTTTATGTTAGCGTACACCAAGTGGGAATTACGAGGAAATTTCAAGCGAACGTTGCCTTTTGTAGATTTAAATTTTCAATTTTACTCCTTTTTCTACAGTTGAGCTCTCATCGAAAGTTCGATTGTCCGTTCGTGAATTCGACCGAGCAAAATTTGACTGACAAAAATCGCTAAAGCTTCTTTGACAGGTATGCTCGTTCGAATGGAAGTCCTTCGCTCGATTTTTCCCTCCTTAAATTGACAACAGCTCTCGCAAATTCGGCTTCTTCTTCCGAGAGATCGCGTGCTGCGCGAATGAAATATTAAAGCAGAAATACGGCTATAATGGCCCTCAATGGAGCGTTGCTTTTGTGAATCGGTAAAAGCGTCTCTCCTTTGGGAATATTGAGTCAGCTTTCTGTGCTTTACCGAGTTTATCGTTCTCCACACTCGGCGAATAACCGGGCACACCTCGGTTGACGCTTCACCACCGTTGTGCGTACGTGTATGCGCTCGTAATCGATGCAAATTGATGCAGTCCGGCGGTTTTGTAAACGAGACATTTTTTCGCGATTTCCGCTGATCTGAGCGTATTCTTATCGGAAAATCGAAACTCGTTCTCTTTTTCCTGTCTTCTCTCTCTCTCTCTCTCTCTCATCAGTGCATATGCATGTATAACGCGTTCGGAAACTTCGCGCTGCAGTTGCCTGAGCGAAATAGCTGTTCGTACTTGCAGATTGTGACAATTTGATTAAGTTATTCTGATTAGATAGCACGTGAAAGCGCGCTACTATCTTTCAAAAAGGCCGACGCTACTGCATCAAATACTACACTATTACTACTCGCGTGTCCGCGCGAGGCTCACCGTGCGAGCCGTATCGGCAACCCTGCCGAAAAAAATGCATTATTCACCCGGTGAAAAAAATATGTGAGAGTTAAAACGGGTTTTAGATAAATGAAAGTCGTCGCGTGCATTAGTTTCATACGTTGTTGTAAATATGAAAGTACTCTTAAAAGGGTTTTTTTCCGGGGAAAAAAATGTTGCGTGTGGTTGATATTTTTGATTATTTAACAGAAATTAATACCAGGGAGGCATTATTTATTTTATTCTTTGTATGGGATATTACGCGAAATAAAATTTAATATAAGCAATAATATATCAATTATATTCAGAATATTATTTCTCGTAGTGTATAACACAACCGATAAATTGCACGCACATATAATGTTTATCGGAGAAAATCAAATTCATTCCGTTGCAAAATTTATACGAGCTCAACCTTCGTATATTAAGTTTAACGACATTCTTGATCTAAAGATACCCAGAAAGTAGCACGAAAGA